TAGAAGTGGATCAGCAAAACGTTCATAGTGTTCCGAGCAAAAAGTACGTACAAGATATCTGGTGAACTGTACAGCACACAATGAGTTGGCTGATCACTATCAATCACCGTTACTTACATTGCCAGCATGATACGCATTGATGCTATACTTAATAGTCCAATTGGGGTCATCCACATGCAAGTGCCAGAAGTTGATGTTAAACAGATACGTGCGACCGAACTTGTTGTAAAGGCTGTTACCACATCATCAGTAATGAGGACATATTTGACACGCCAGGTGCCACTTACACGCCCCGTTCCTCTGCTTCTGACTCGGTCAGATATTCTCCAGCATATATACCAATGTAAGTGTTAGCTGGAATCTTCTTGTGACCGGCGAAGACACCTGTTCAGATGTTCAGCACCGCACTGAGATTGATACACCCAAGTCATCTTAATAGCGACTTACCCCAGCCTTTGTTCTCTGTCTTGCAAATATTGATAGGGTGTTTCCGGCCCCATGGAACCACCTGTTGAAAAGTGTAAAATGGGCACCATGTCCTGCCATGAGAGCGCTTACTCTGTTGATACAGTCATCGGAGCATCTGCACAAGTCATTGCATTCGAAGATCGGGTACCCCTGGGATCTCAGTCTTAGCCTCTGGTCATACAGGAAGCCAGGACTTTCAGAATGCTGCTGATGTCTCTGCGCACAAATGCAGGTCTCAGACTTCGGATCGCATGGACCGATGCAGTCGCATCCTCGCAAGTTCTCCCAGTCTGGCTTGGGCACCCCTTCGCCATGCCACATGAGGTTTGAGTAATGAAATTCGTAAGGTGGCGTCAGGTCATCATCAATGTCGTTGATGATGTGGATCGGCGGGGTGTGCGGCTCGTCGCTCTCGGTGTTTTCTGCGATTGCTGCCTCGAAGAGTTTTACTTGCATGTTATCCGCGTGTTGTGCATAGCTCGATAAGAAATTAATCCTGTCTTCCAACTCATGAGGTAGATCTTTCGCTAAAACTGGGGGATGCACGTATTCTTTCGCTAGTTGTTCTCGATGCTGTTCCCACGTCATCATCGTGAAGCCAGATTTTTGCGCTGTTAAGGCCAATGCTGACACTTTGCTATCAGGAGTATACCGATTGGGGGTAGTGATCCGAGGTTCAGCAAAGAGTACGTCGTTGACGGGAGTCACGGGGCCACCGGCGGAGGACCCTGATGAGGCAGACGATTGCCCGGCTGATGCTCGAAGGCTCATAACAGCATTGCTGGCTGCTGAACGAGGGCACAACACACACTTTGTGATGGTTGGAGATGCGAGATTTGACTGTTGATCTGATGCCTGCAAACAACGCCGTCAGTAGTCATCGATGAAGAATTAGCAAGATTATCCACCTCTGATTCATGAAGATACCACACAATCTCTTGCTCTTCCTCTTCGTCTTTACCTTCCGAAGGAGACAAAGGTGGGCAGGTGCATTTCCGGGGAGGGAGCCCTCGATACGTCGCTCTCAGGGGTATCCACACCGGATGCATGCTCAGGCACATTCAACACGTCTTCATCAGGCTGCCCACCCAACACCTCGAAAGCAGTAAGGAATGCTATAGGGGCGGATATCTCCACTGCGAGGCTGTGTGAAGTTGGTTGCTGGCCTTGCATAACAAGGTCTTTATCGCGCATGATGTCCTGTTCGACAGATGACGCCGTTGGACGTGGTCTTGTCACATCTGCGGACCTAGCAGGGACAGGTTCTAGTGGAGGAAAGTTATTGTGAGGCTGCCGTGATCCGAGAGTACTGCCAAGACTGCTCGGCAATTTCGAGCGAGATGGCACTCCATCAGCTTGCCACAACGAATCAGGTGGTTCGTCCGCATTGACAGATGAGTCAACGATCCTCGCACTATCAGTCATCCCTGCAGAGAACGAGTCGGTTAGAGGAAAAACCATGATCACCGATCCTTTCAGCTCAGCATTAAAAGATGTATCGCATGGTGGGTTCACAAAGTTTTCGTCGTTGCTGTGATTCCTTGGTTCAACAGTGCTATGGACATCAGATTGCACTGGTACTGTCTCTTCCCCATCAAAATCGATGAGTAGGGGAATGTTGGAAGATGATCCAATGCCCAGCCTTTGCGGTTGGACGAGTGTACCTGTGGCGTCGTCTGTCTTCTTGTTCAATTACGCATCCCTGTACACCTGATTGAGGAGTTCAGTGAGTGAAAGACCTTGCGGCTCTACTTTTGGTATAGACGAGGAGTGCTGCATAGCTGCAATAGACTGAGCTGGGCGCTACAATAAAATCAAAATCGGACATGACTTGGTCAATAGAAGCAGAAATGCTTACAGAGGCGATTGCGCTCTGCGATATTGATACTGATGAATCTCCAGTTGGTACGATCTCCTGTACAATGTCACATGCCGGTGCCTTCCGTGGCTCTCCTGCTTGGCTAGACGGACAATTTACTAGCTCATCCATTGCCATCTCTACACCAGGTGATATCGAGGCTGTTGGCGCTTCTGGCTCATCCACTTGCATAGCACCTGGTGGAATTCCACTTTCGAGTGCATTCTCTGGCGTCACAATCTTGACCTCTTGCGCAACAGCAGTCGCAGATCCTTCAGCTTCATCAGCAGTGCCCGAGTCAGAGCTCTGCATTGCGGATGGTGGGTAAGCTAGCTCTGGTAACCCCTTCTTTATCTCGTCCATATTGAGGGTGGGCGTCCTCCCTTCACATTTAGATCGTGCGAAATGTCCCCCTTCACAAGATTCACCAGGTTTCAAGATTTTACTGGATGATGCATGCTTCCTCGATCGAAAGTCGTAAAATCCCTTGAAACAACCATTCGGACCACTGTAGGCTAATGGCACCACCCTAGTAGGTGAGGAAGGGGATTTACCCCACCACTGTGACCTAACTGGGGACTTTGCAACCTGGGCTGCCTGGATTGCGTAATCGTCCGTAGTAGCAGACATGGCTGTTCAAGTGTTCTCTTGCACGAGTTTCTCCGAAAATTTGAAAACCGGCGCTATAGTCTTCTCAGTCCTGCTGATGATCAGCTCTCGAGGTTGAGACGCTCGTGGTTCAGTTACAAGCATTTCATTCTGCATCTCAAAATGTGAGGGCTGGCCGTGTAACCCAGCGAGCTGCACAACAGACGAATCGGTGTTGCTAATCTGCAGTTGAATGTCGACAGAACTGGCCAGCTCCACATCTTCGCGTTTGCATGGGACCCGAGGTGATGGAAGATTTTGACCTAAACAACCATCGCTTCAACAACATATTGGAGGAATGCACTAAATCGCCGCATTTACCTGATATGGCAGGGACATCTTGCCCGTTGGGAGTAGGAACACTGTCGTGTCTGCCTTCAGCTTGTTCGGGTATCTCATTACCTCCGTCAGCACACAAATCCCGAGTTTGCATCTGATCCTCGATGATGAATGCTCCGGATTTGGCGGTGGCGGCGAGAATGTTTCTTCAAAACAATTGAGTGTTGAAATCTCCACTGGCAGCGATCTCAGCTCATGAGGCCCATCTGATACGGACATCAGCACGTCCTCTGCTTGATCATTCAGGACCGGATCCTCGTGTTGGAGCAACGCAGTCGACTTAGGGATTTCATTGCGACCTCTTTGCTTCAGCACGCATACAGGACTCGAGATAGCAGTGGACGGTAGCATGACATCGGCGCCGTGCTCCTCGTCGGTGTCAGAGTCTATGATGATCGTACCATCGGCATCACATTTAAATTGTGGTGGCGGTGACTCCTTGGCACTCTTCTTCACCTCCTCACCATCCGTGTCTGTTAAACTGATCATGCCATTGTCTGGCACAATTGGAGCAGACTTGCGGAACTGGTTGCCTGAGGCAGCCAATGATGCATGCGATCTAATTGATGGTATACGACGTGACATACCTCGTGTAGATGGCTTCTGCGTTGAAGCAGGAGCCGAGTCACCTGATCATAGCGCTTCCATTACATGAGGAGGTCCTCCTGTGTAGATGGTTTCTGCGTTGAAGCAGTCACATTCCATCATATGAGAAGGTCCTCCTATCACGCATAACAATGGGGTCACAACCCCACGGCATGCTGATGTAATAAGATCTTCCACAGATCCGCTCGCAGATTGGACTCGATCGAATTTCAGCTTGAGTCCGTCAATTGGTCCTCTCCTAAAACGTGCTGCAGACTGCAGTTGTTCAACATCGTCAATCTCGTCTCATTCCCTCTGAGCTAATGATGCATTGTGCTTGACGTGCCTCTGCATCTTTAAGGCTCTCAGAACTACCAATTCAGCCAACTCTGCCCGGGTTGTCAGCTAGTTTGTGTCTCACCTCCACGTTGTGCATCGGGTAGCCGTAAAATGTGTGACACTTCTGGATGTCACTGCCCAGAGAAGGACAATGCAGCGTGGAAGGTGGGCTGACTGCATGGTTTAGCTTGAACCACAATCGACTGCAAGGAGGGCCATCTGGGACGTCAAAGGAACCTCGAAGCTGTCACATGCATGTGTCGAGGCACAAAGTTAGTTTCCAGTGCTCAGAAACCTACTTATCTTGCTATTCGGGTCTTCAGGCCTTTGGAACTCTAAAAGAGTTCCGGCGAGCACCGCTTCATGCTTTCAAGCCCTTCACCGTGACACCGACGTCATCCTCTCCCCTCACGTTTACGGTGAAACACCCGCCGTGCAATCACAAGCGACCGATTTCATCGATTCGAGTGCGCTTCGTGTTCTTGTCACTGGGTTTGGCATGCTCCTCCGCACGAGCAGCATATAGGCTCAGGATGTGATACTTCCACCCACAACCATTTGGTCCGATCAAAGTAAAACTCTCCTGGCTCGCCGTCAAGCCTCTGCACGGCATCCGTACCCTGGGTGCATCTCTGAGACCCATCCACATCACCAGGCTAGAAGTCGCCACCTCCTACGTGACCATGCTCTCCCTCGTATGCACCTGCACGTACGTCCACCTGTGGTCCCACAGCCTGCAGACCCCACGCTTGCAGTCGCAACACCTCCAGCAGACAGCTATGACTTCATCATGCACGTTGGTGTCACAAATCCGGGCAAGATACGCACCTAATCGTGTGGGCGAAGACATAAATATGCGTATCCTGATGCAGATGGGGAGATATTCCCGGCGGTGAGTGAGAGTGAGGGCAGCCCACCCGTACGCGGATTCGGGAAGGGATATGAGGAGTCTCCCGAGGAGCTCTTCACGCTGGTGGATGTAAGAAGCTTATCGAACACCTGAAGAAGACCGGGTTCACGGTACGTGCACAATCAGAGGGCATCTACCCGTTCGGCATTGCTTGATGTTTACGACTTCCATCGCAGCAAATGGCGCCCTCCACGGATGCCGGCCTGTAACTATGCGAGTTCATCAACTACTGCTCACTCGCTGAAAGTGCGCAAGCTGTGTCGCAGCACCTTGGTGGGAAGCGCATGACCGTGATCTTCCTATACGTACTGCCGACTGGCGAGCCACTCAGCACCGAGGAAGCGATGGAGGCTTTGCGCAGAATCGTCTCCTGGGTATGCAGCCAGGAGGAGGAGGCTTGACGTGTCCGCGTCTGTGCGTCATGTGCCAGAGCATGATCTGTAGTGATTGTATGGCGTCCCGTAAGTTGGTGACAAGCGTTGTCAAGAGTATGCATATCAGAAGTCAGATCATGTCGCTTGTGCGAGCCTCATGCAAAAAAAACAAGTTTTGCTCTATGTATATTGCAAGATGTCAAACTGGATGTGGACCTAAGGGTACACAGCAATGGGACCGGCAATAATCCTGACCCGGCACTTCAACTGCACACCCACGATATGGGGCTTCTCAGCACTGCCGTAACTTCATCAGTGCTGATGTGGTCCACTCCAGGGATATGGATGAATAGAGCCAGAAGGTCTTTCCGCCAGTCGCAGCTGTGCGTCTGGACTCTGCGAGGGAGCAGTAGTCGATGAAGTGACACAGGTAGCGGCCCACATCCAGCGACGGCACGACGTGCTGTAAAGTAGGTCAGTGTGCTAAGACAGCGAGAGCATGGAGATGAACAGACCTCATAGCCAGCCACTTTCAAGTGTCCTATGAGCTTTGCACTATTGACAGGCGTGAGGAGCTCTTCTGGGTACTCCTCGTAACCCTTACCAAAGCCACGCACTTCTTTGCCATCTGTTTCTCCAGCTACGATGCAACGCATCCTCCTGGTCGTAACCGTACTTGTGACCCAACTGCTCGACGTGTATCAGCAGGCCTCTGCTGCTCATGATGCCGATGTGGAGGATGAAGTCGTACCCCTCAGCAGGATGCAGCACGACAGCGAAGGCAAGGTCCTTCAGTGTGGGCACCTCGAGTGCTGTGATGTGAATGTGGGGTAGGGCTGTCGCTGTTGGTGTAAATGACGGTGTTATGCAGTGGCTTGACAGCGAGCCACGACGGGTTCACTTTGATTGAACGAAAAGGCTGGAAACATGAAAAGGTTAAACAATGGTATACGTGTGGGACATCAGAGAATGCATTACGCCATATCCAGTGACCAGGATGTGGAGGGCGCCCTCGTCAGCAGAATGGGGGGAGTCTGAAGGGACATGCATGGCGGGTCAACTGGGAGAGCACATGCTGAGATGGCATTAAATATTCTGTCACGGCAATCTAGCGAGGTCGCAACATTATCTATCCGTCATCCCTGTCGGCAGAGCTTGACGCGATCAGCTCATTAACACGTGACACGCGCTTCGATCAAATACACCGACACGTGAGCCTCAGATGCAAATACTCGCCACTCGCGACCACCATTGATCAGACCACGACGAGCACCGAAGGTGCATTTTCTTGCATCATCTCTGCTCGTATCTCTCACATGAGGCTGCAGTAACATGGTGCGCATGTCTCATCACAACCTTCAAGTTGCGATGGCTCACTGCTTCCTAGCCCAGTCTGCTCGTGCAAAATCCTCGAGAAGGACATCAACCATCATCTGGACACTGGCTGTGCCAAGGATAATGACCCAGCATTAAAAGGAAGGTGAGGACCCCCTCGTACACAACCGTGAACATGGGCTTCCATCGCGTCGCTCTTCGATGAGACGCCGAAACCGCACGCAGCACCAGCCGATCCTTTGCATGCGGCTTCGACATTCAAGGCTCATGGGAAGAAGAGAGTCAGACTGATGAGGCCTGCACATCTGCTGAACTGGGACCCTCAAAGTGGCCAAAGACCACTTCAATTTCAAGCACCATGACTGCTCGCATGAATGCTGCTGCTCCTCTGGCTGAACACCTCCACTCAACTTCGCTGGAGGAGTTCATGGGTCAGCCACATCTGACTGGTCTTGACTCGTTGTTACTGCGCCTGCTGGATAGTGGCTCGACAGGAAGTATCATCTTCTGGGGCCTTTCAATGTATGTCGGACCAGCCTGTGTGATGACCATACAACTATCAGATGACTGCTTATAGAAAATACATGCGTGGCTGTCGGGAGTGAATCGATGAAGAAACGAGCTGCTCATTATGCTATGGCTTGAGCTTGAGCCTGGTGGTGACACGGAGAGATCTCATCTGACCGAAGTCACGATCGGAAGAAGCTCCTCGAGATCACGGAGCTATCTGCGCTCTTCGTCTGACATCCCTTAACTTGAATTCGAAGCTTATTTGACTCAGATGCACTGCACTGCACTGATTGCAGCATTACGGTCTCAGGATCAATAGGGTGTGAGAATGTTCCGTGGCACCCCCCTGATATGGCTGTTTTGGTAATGGATGGAGAGAACAGGAATTTACGGTGAGCACTGATTTGGATGATTGTGGCCAACACTGATGCCAAAATTCTATTGTAGAGCCCTTCCGGCACTTTCTTTCCACGCCCAGACATTCCTCTCTCATTTGAACAATGTCGCTACACCAGGCACTTCCCACCACTTTCACCACTACTACTGGTGACATATTACTACTCACTCTGCCGCTCCTCCGCTCCACCCTCAGTGTAATCATTCACAGTCGCAGTCCATGTATCCTTCGCGATCTCTCAGTGGTTCTTCACATCAACAGTTTCATATCTACAAGCCTGCACGGATCATTCGTTGTCAATGTCTGTGCTGTGTGAACTCATTATCAATCAATCCGTTCACTGGAGAGCAGGTTACAGGGCACTATGTTGGAAGGAATGCGCGAGATAATCATTGAAATTTTGATGTTCTCCCTTCCTCCCCAACTTCTAGGCAGTCGATGGCTACACCGACATCGGCTTTTTTATCTCACTCTATAGATCTTCCTCTGCTCGATAGACCCAATCATGGCTTCGAGCAACCCAATCGCTATCATTTTGGCGTTACCGAGCCAAATGACACTTCCTCACCTATAAATATCTCTTCAAATCTGACCATGCCTGATCTCACGACATTCCCTCAACCGAGCATGGATGGTGTATCATGCTCGAATAGTCTTCCTCCGTGCAGTTCGCATCACATGTTCGGTGATATTCATGCCACAGGACACGATAACCCTATTTCTATGGACATCGATATGGATTCGACCGAGCCAGACCCAGGTGATCCTGTAGACCAAGTTCTCGCCCATCTTGAAGAACGACTTTCTGAGAAACACTCATCTGCAGTGGAGCACAGTCGTTTGGTTTTCGAGCTTCCTCCCGATTCATTTTCAATACCCCTAGCTTTGCAACGTCTGCAGACAGACGAGGTCGAGATCAATCAGGGGCAGTTCGCTCTGACTTACCATGATCTGGAAATCTCGGCTCTGATTGTTCATGAAGAATGGCTTCTCAGCATCTACCTTTGAGTCGAACACTATAAGAGTCACTCTGTGCGATCTATTCAAATTCGAGCATCACACTTGCCCAGCAATGTTGAGGCTGCCCTTGCTGACATGAAGAATTGGAAGATGATAGAATGGGAGAGGCAAAGGCTTGATGCCAGGTGCCACGGAGAGCTTCCCTGTGCGTTTGAAGGAGGAAGTACAATAGCAACCAGTACGATTGCTTCTTTTCAGTGATAGGCAAAATGTGCTCACTGTACCTTGCTTCCAGACACATATTTGATGCCAGCCATTATGCACTTTCACCCTGTTATTGCTGTCTGCTATATCCTGGTCGCAGTCCTCCACGTCCTCTGTCGAGTGTCAATCAAGCGATGCTTCTTTGTGTTGAAGAGCATCCAACTTCTTCTACGACTCACACCCTTCCTGGAAGAATTGAATAATGCAACCGCATTGTCCATCACCTTCAATATTCCTGGTGATGTCTGAACATTGCTAGGTCAATTAAACGTGATGCCAGTGACAAAGTCATTCATCTGCTGTCCGGAGTGTTTTACATTGTATTTGCCAGATAAAGATGGCAGTTATCCTGAACAATGTATCGCCAGAAGCAATGCAACGAGCAGCGAATGTAACGCTCTCCTGCGAATCCGACACAAGGTCAATGGCATAAACAAGATGTTCCCTATACGCCATTTTATCTACCAAGATTTTTCGCACTGGCTCGCTCGACTACTCTGCTGCCGAGACATGGAGGCAATCATGGATAGGAACCTCCTCAATGCTGACAACCATTTACCATATAACTGTGCGGACATTTTTGATACAGTGACTCTTCGAGAATTTCGAGGCCCAGATGGACATCCATTCATCTGTGGAGAGACAAATGAGGGTCATTATATCTTTAGCCTCTGTATGGACGGATTACAGCCTCATGGTAGAGGCAGACTGCCAGACTCTGTTGGTACCATCTACCTTGCATGCTTAAATCTACCTCCCAATTTGCGCTACGATCCTGACAACCTGTTCCTCGTGGGATCATTTCAGGCCCAACTCACCCTTCCATGGAGGAGATCAACCCTTTGCTAACCCCCCTGGTAGATGATTTCATCAAACTATGGAACTATGGAGTCCAGTATTCGGCTACACCTAGCTATCCGAGTGGCAAACTTTGCAAATGCACCATTGTGCCCCTCGTCTGCGACATTCTGGCTGCTCACCAAATGGCTGGCTTTTTGGCACACAACCATGAGTATTTCTGTTCATTGTGTCTTTTGAAGCACACCGAGATCGAGAACCTCGATTGGTGGAACTGGCCGCCTCGTTCCTGTAGTCAACACCGATTGGATGCGGAGCGTTGGAAAACCGCGTCAAGCATAGAGGAGCGACAGCGTATTTACGATTCAACGGACGTGAGATGGTCAGAACTCCTCCGTCTACCCTACTGGGATCCAATCAGGTTCACGGCGATCGACCCCATGCACGCTCTCTTCTTAAATGGCTTTGGCACGCACATTGAAAATATATGGGGAGTCAGTCCTGACGTCGAAGGCGACCTCCAGGGCATAACTCATGACATTGCGAAAAAAGCACCTTCAGCAGATCAGATGCAGGCTGCTTATGTGACCTGTGAATGGGCTCCAATACGGCTCTTGGCAATCTCCCAATTCATGTACTGCGGTGACTTTGTAAAGAACAGAATCTGCGCTTCTCTGAAAACAAAGAGATTTTGCAAGATCGTCTGCGTTCATTGGTATGTTTATTTGAACCTCTCATCTGTCACTCCTCGTGGTCATATTAATTGACTGTCATGCCTCTCGCCTGTAGCATATTGAACGTGGCTGGGTGGACACGGAAGGAAAGCTGACGTCACGACTAGTGGAGGATGCGATGAGTCCGACCCTTCAGGAGCAGATCGATGATGCTGTCGAGGTCCTTGAAACAAAGGCAACGTCAGTGCTCGAGAGGTCAAGGAAGTCTGTCTTGAAGCATCTGTGTGTACTCAAACTGGATGGGAAGCTTGAAGATTATGAAAAACTATCAAAACGACACATCATGGATAAATTGCATAGTTACGTGCATGTCACTCCATTTCTATTGCTGCTTCGCCCCCATTCACGTATATCAAGCACATGGATCAAGGTATTGTGGACAATTACGGCCAATTGATCTTGGAAGGGGTCCAAAGTGCTCATAGAAATGCAACCACCACCGAAGACATCACGAAAGGAATGAAGGTTCTGAAGCATGGAACACATACTGAACTAGCCAAGCTGCCTGCATCCTTGTTGGCTGCGCTGTATATGCGAATACAAGGTGAAAGTGTTTCAAGTGAAAGTCTCATGAAACTTAGCAAGAAATATGTCATTGGAGAACTGCATCAATATGTGTGTATCTGCTTCATAAAGACTTCTCCATGCTCATTTGCAAGGTTTCCTTTCCTTCTAGCGTCGATTCCATAAGCTTGACAAAGCTGCCGAACTAGAAGAACTATGAGCATCTCAAGCCAGAAGTCTTCTGAACATCTCACATACGACATCTGCCTGGGCGGTCACAGAAGCTAACAAATGTCCACTCATGCATGTAGGCAATGAACGAATTTCTCAAGAGGAGTATGCAAATGCGGAAGATATTCTTGAACGAGGCGGTGGGACCAAATTCTGACAGCTGGGCACCACTGCATTGCGTGCACTGTGTTTGCTATGTTTGAACCAGGACAATGCATATGACATGGAACGCGAAGAACTATTGTCAGTGCTACATCATTATGTAGGTTTTCTACAGTTGCCCGTTCTCGAGTCAATAACTGAAATCTGATGATAATGTTTGGCAGCGTGTGGAACAGAACATCATGGCCGAGAATGGCTCACTCTTGAATGATGGTTGAAGGAGTGCCCCGAAGAGGAGGATACTCGGCAGAACCATGCTCGAAGTTATATGGTCTGATATGGATCAATTATGACTACCATCATGGGTTACCGGAGTACCGCGACGCGTCGGCTCTTCTGGGAAGGCTAGCGGTCTAGGTCTGAGCGCGGATGAATGGCGCACCTTCTGTGTCATTAACCTCACGGGAACACATATATACTTATGGGGAACATCACCATTCGACTCACG